CTAAACATGAGATAATTTTTGATATCTCTGCTAAAGAAAACCATAATGCATAGTTTGGGATCCTAAATTATAGCTGGATTTTCTGCTCTTAAGTGTTCATTTGCTTACGTGGGAGGGGCCAATGAAATAAAGTAGCAACAATTTGTACCAATGCATGACTTTTTATTTCTTTGGATCAAATAGGAAGTGATGTGTGGACTTAAACTGTTTTCAAATGGCCTTTCCAGTTCTGTTAGAAGCAATGTTCAGGCTAAACTGCCAATATTTTTCTTCAGTGTGAAAAATGCTGACTGTGGGGCTTGTGTTAAAATACAGCACACACACACCTAAGAATCTAATGTCCTATCTATTGTTGGGTATGACTCTATTAGCTTTGCATGTTGTGAATTATCTGGACTACAAACCCCTGTTCTTTTTCTTTCCTTCTCAGTATCTGTGTAGTGATCATTTTCCTGCTCACTGGTGTATCCACTACTAAAATACAAGTGAAAATAAAAGGAGAATATAAAGGAGACACTTCCTACCTCTGGGAGGAATACAAAAAGCACACACATTTGTACCAGTTAGCAGCCCTAAATATCTGTTGAATAAATAGTTTTAAACAATTGACTGAAATACATATTTTGAATCTGCAAATATTTCCTGAAACACAGAAGCTGTGTAGGTTAGGCAGCTACGGTATAGCTCTAAAATTCAGAGGATCCCTTCTATTTTTGGCACAGAAAATAGTCACATGGCTATGAAACATGAATTTGGATGCCAAATGAATAACAAGCTTGGAGGCTGAGCTCCAAGTGACTTCAAACATCTGTGAAATGAAAATATCCCTGTACCAAGGCGTGCTACTATGTTGAAAACAATTACTGTTACTGATCATTTTCTTGCTTAAAATAAAGTACATCTCTTCTCATGGGAGCAGGTGTAAGGGTGACTTTGTGAATCTCCATTAATCAAATCACAAATGGACACCCTCCCCTATTCTTGTAAATCCATGCAAACAAAATTACACTTTTTGACATCTCAAAAGAAGAAGTGTGCAATTTGTTAGCAAGAAAGGATAAATTTCACCTTCCCACTTCTCCAGGATTCATAGTAATCCAAAATCAAGAAAGCACAGACACTTTGAAAATCTGCCCCTTTAGCCCCTGCCTTTGGTATATTAATGACTACAAGATGTTGGACGCATATTTGAGCAGTAAGAAGAACCTGCTTCCCAAAGGGAAAAAGAAACTGGGAACAGACCCAGAGAAACAATAACTTAGTGGACAGGTCTAAGAAACTCTGAATATCAGCACGTTTCAAAGCTTAGTAACAAAGCTTAGAATGTCATGTGATCTTTACTTGCAAGTCAGCGCAAACCTTTTCTATCATTATGACATCTAAAGCATGACTTATTTTTCATAAACAGATATTTTTCTTACGTTGGAATTTATCCTACGATGCTACAATTAGCATTCTGCCATTCTTTTTTGTCATAGTCATACAATGGTTTACTATCTACCTTTAAAAAGTAAAGAGTTAAGAGAGAAGGGAAATTGGTATTAGGTCCTGCATTGAATTTAGGTTCCTCTTTAAAGGATGCAGTGAAACAAAAATGTCCTCCTTTCAAAATGCTTATTTTGGATTTGAAAAGCATTCTCACCCAGGTGCCATTCTTTCCGTCTTTTACTTTTCTTCCAATTGTCTTACCTTTCCTCCACACATCCGTGATGCAGATCAGCACTGGCCTCCAAGCCTCAGGCATCAAAGGAATTAGGTCAGACCAGAAGAAATCAGGTTGCAGGCAAGAAAAAAATTTTAATAAAATAGAAGCTATGCCAGCCTGGAGCTTCTGTACTCCTTCAGGCAGACTAACAAGCCCTGGTCTTAGGTAATTGATACGTGAGAGAAAAGCAGAGATGTTTGAGAGACCAAAGATTTGTATAGTATTAGCAACGTGATGATATGTTGAATTTATTTGAAGCCAGTCTGTACATAGTGCTCTGATGGGCTTGGTGCTCAGCCTTAAAACAATTGCAATTAAAAATAATTCCAGGAAAAGAGAAAAGATCTAGTGCAATATCTGTTTGCTATAATTTATGAGTTTTTAAAAGTCACTTTGTATTTGTATTCCATCTGAGATTAGTGGTCTTTTAAAGCATATATTAAGTGTACACAGAAAATTAATTTTATGTTAGCATGTTTAATGCTTACTTACTCAAACAGCGTATTATCTTCTTTTGAGTTATTTTAAGGACAAAAAATAGAAAGAGATTGTACTGGAAAATGTTCATTCTCCAGATGATCATTTTAGTTGCCATTATTACTGGCTCCAAAATGATTGGAGGAGCAATTCAAATTCAACCTATCACATTATCCAAGGGCATTCTATGAATAGCTGCAACCAAGAGCAAGTTCTGGCAAAGATGCAAAGGCAGCGTATTGAAGTCAGCAATAGCATTCAAGAGTATTTTCCAGAGTTGGCGAATGCAGATGAGAATATTTATATGTCATCTCTCAAACTATAGAAAGTATTTTGGGAAAGATATTTTTCACAAGTCTTAGATTAGCCATTATAGCAATTTAAAGGAGGTTTTTGTTTGTTTGTTTGTTTTTGTTTGTTTGTTTTGGATGATGAAACAAACCTTTGGGTGATGCCAGTCACATTTACACATCATCCCATTTAATCCTTGCAGCAGCCCCATGAGGGAGATATTGGTGTCTGCATTTGTGATGAGAAACTGAGGCGCAGGCATTAAGCAACTTGCTAAAGACCTCAAATTTAGAAGGTAGCAAAGACAGAATTTGAACTCAGGAATCTGAGGGAATTTCTAGAGGTTTTTCTCACTACTGGAAACAGTTTTAAAGTTTTAAGAAAGGTGAAGCCTCTTTGGTTTCTGAATGTAGTAAGTCTCAAATTCTGATAGCTCTCACACATCTCTTCAAAAAGGATCATCAGTAAGATCATTTTAACCAAGGGAAAAATATTATCCTACCTAATATGTATTGAGAAATTACTTCTACCAAATATACTTAAATTTTTCATGCATAAATTCACGTAATACTATAAGATATACAGTTACCATCCCCAGTTGAAGAAAGGGAAACCGAGGCAGACAAAAGTTGAGTAATTTCCCTTAGGTTATCAGGTAGACACAGTAAGAGCCAGGATTCGTTAAATGATTTTGTGAATATAAATGAATACCAATAATTAAGGACACATTTTGCATATACCGTGCTTTTTGTCTAGAATTATCTTTCCTCTTCACCATCTTCTCCTGCAGTTCAACTTTAATGTCAGCCTTTCCAGATCCACCTCTCTAACTTAGAAGCCTTTCTATCTTCATGGTGTAGTGCTATCATATCATCTATCACATAGTGTAGTAATGATATCCTTAACTTTCTCTCCACTTGGATGCTAAGCTCGCAGGGGGAAGAGACTCCATCTTCCATGTCATTCTATCACTAGTAATATTACTTGTTATGTAGCAGCCACCTAAAACAGGTTGGATTTACAAGTGGAAGAAAGAAAATAATTGAAAAATACTTGGTTGCAATAGATGGATAATTGGGTGAAGGATAGCTAGATTTATTGATGGATGAATACACGGATGGATGGAAATATAAAAGAATAAATGACATACACATAGGAAACATATGAGTCCGTCCAATGTGTGTGTCAGTTTTAAATAGAGAGAGCTTCCTGGGTGCATTTCTAAAAAGAAGAACTTTAAAAAAAAAATTCAGTCGCTTTTCTGCCTTATCTTTAATTACTGTTCTTTTTTCTATTGTTTTCTTTTAATGGCCATTAATAATGACCCAGCAAGCTGGTGATAAATTTGTTCTTGGACATTTTCCCTACTTTTTTGTTATGTATATATCAAAGTTTTTGGCTTGATTTCACTCTTCTTAAGTAAAGGAGACTTTTATTTCTCTAATTACCTTCGAGTTCCTGCATCGAATGCACTGCATTCCTGACTCCCTGGATGTAGGCCTCCACTCCCCTCAGCCATTTGCCTAGCAGGCGCTACTTGAAAGTTTGGCCTCTAGTATCCCTACTAGATTGAGCAATGAAAGCAGCATAAAATCCTAAACCTACTGTCAAGTGTGAATCCTCTACTTCAGAACAGATATATCATCCTGGCCCTAAAAAGAAACAGACCACATAATATTTCCAATATTGTCATAAATTCATCCACTTTGAGTATTTGTTATATTTACCTACCAGGCAGAGCAGGGGAAAAAAATGTTTTTGTCATCAATAACCAAAGTATTGTAAGAAAACATTAATTTCACTTTAAAAAAAAGGCATGGAAACTGTAGGCTACCATTATGGATGCCTTATGATATAGCTTATAAATACAATATTATATTAAGAATGTAATTGCTAGAGACATTGCTCCATGAAAGATGTCGGGTTGTTTACAAGAAAAAAAAAAATGTCATGTCCTCCTCTGAGAGTTGTTTTGGATGATTACTTATCAGGGTTTAAAAATATAAAGGCAAATAAAGATTGGTCTTTCTACTTGAGGTCAGTAGTTCACTGATTTTTGTCAAGAAAAGGAGTTTACTAGATTTCCTTTTGCACTATCAGACAGCTTGTCATTTTTTATGTGATAGACTATGTAATTATTTTTCACGGTGGTATACTATCCATCTCTATATATACACACATACATTTACACTTACATATTTACCCTATGGCACTGCATTCACTGTGCAAGTGTACCAAAACCTATTTAAGATGCAAACATCAAAGAGGAAGGGGAAAAGCAGTCCTATTGCCACTATGTGTAGATGTCTGAGAAAGTCTCCTAAAGACCAATTGATCAATATACAAAAATCGTCACAACTGCTAAAGGCTGCCAACATAATCTTTTAAAGCAAATGTAAAAGTAGATACTGAAAAATGTGGGTTACCAAAGTATTCTTTACCTCTGGCTCCCCACTCTGTGCTGTCTCATATTCTTGCAAGTCTCATTGGGATGCTTGGTAAACACACTTCACCTTTCTTTCTTCAGTTTCAGGGTAGAAAGGCTCCCTTTAACTCCTGAAGACAGTAAATCACAGTCTGTGTGGTGGTTCTCAGAAGACACTTAAAGGACTGAACTGGATGCTCTACATAGCACCCTTGCCAAAAGGGTTCGGAAATGACTTCCAGCTTCCCACAGTAATAAAATGGCACTGTTTGGCATCTTCGAGGTAATAAAAGTGAATTTTTTCCATTCTAGTAAATGAGAAGAGAGGCCTGGTTGTTTTAAAAACTGATTTAAATTCGTGTGTTTTCTTCACATTATAGAGCGTGATATGAGCACATTTAGGTGAACTTCAGACCACCTCAGAACATTACTATCCGCCGCTCTCTGGGGCAGAACTGGATGTGCTGGCGGGTGGTAGAAGGGAGGTTGGAAGGATGGCCAGGTGCCCTGGACACTGCAGCCGTGATACGATAGGTGGCGCTCTCCCCTCTGAGTCCGTGTGAAAGATCTCCGAACGTGCTCTTTGGAGGATATTATTTTGCTTGAAGGAAATGTCTTGGACGTTCATCAGTGTTTCTGGCACTGTTTAACAGCTGCTGAGTCTCATAGCAGACTCTGGCTGTATTTTGGTGATGGGAAAAGCTTTAGAAAACAGATTTCCTGTCTTTAAGGAGGAGGCTTATGTTAGGCATTATTGTCATTTGTATACAAGACTTTTTATAATTCAATTTCGCTGTCCTCCCAGTTGCAAAGGAAAATCTTTTGTCATTCCTATTTGACTCATAGGGTCTAGGAAGAAGTTTGATCATCTTCCATTTCCCATCTGGTTATTCATAAGACACCTGCATCTCTGTGATTTCTCCTAGACTACACAATGCTACCAACTGACAACAGACGTTGTATAAAAAAGGCCACCTTTCAGAAAAGGAACCTGAACATTAAAAGCTTGTCAACCAAACACACGGGATATAGCTTTTATTCCTTATTTCAACTGCACCAGAAGTGGAAATTATAACTCTTTTAAGCAGAAAAGACAAGACTGATACTTTTTACATAGAATCCAACCCACATTTGTCTTTGTTTATATTTTGCAATTATAAGGCTATTAGAAACAAATTAGTAGTATCACCGAAGAATTTTTAATGACTTGCTGATTTCAACTATTGCCAAATACCCTCATCTACTCATCACATTCTTAATTAAGAGACACCAGTGTGTGTGTGTTTTTATAATCTCTTTGTTAAAATTACTCAGTAGTGGCCTCAGTAGTTACAGACTAGTCCATTAATTTATTAGAGAGATTCAAAAGATTATTACAAAAGAAGCAGGATGTAGACACACCCAGCTTAACAATAGTGGGGAAGAGAGGGGTCCCTAACAAAAGATATGATAAGAGGAAAGGGAAATATCACTGCAGTTCATAATGATGGTTGGTAAACAGTTGAGTACATGTTTTTAAGTCTGTAACAACTTGGTTCAACAAAGTAAGAATTAGTTGTAAATGCTAATGTCTTTGACTTACAAATCCTCCCTGTGAGTATGACCCAACTCAGAGCATTTGACTTCAATAGGTGACCATCTGCGATAAAAAGGAGAGTGGTTCCTTCTGTGCTAGTCCTGAAATACTAATAGAGGCAGCATTCCTGCACATAGTAGGAAATCAATAAATACCTGCTGAACGGATGAATACATGACTAAACATGGGAAGAACAGTATCTCCTTTTTCTAAAGTACCATTACAGAAGTAATGGTACTTTCGACAAATATGTAAGGGTAAAAACAGTTACATTCTTGATCTTTAAAGTGTAATATATTTCTCCCCCATATTTCTTCTTTTTTAAAATATAGAAACTGTACTTTATGTACCCTGAACAACCTTCCTGCAAAAAAAAAAAAAGAAAAGAAAAGAAAACACAAAGCACATTTATCTCTGCCTCTTACATTAACAGGCTTGCCTAAGAGTTTTTATGGTTATACTTCAACTTGTTCCCTGTATGCTACCTCCTCTGTAACTTGACTTTAAATTATCTGTTTATCTTCCCATATTGCAAATATTATTGAATACATGTAGTAGATTAAATAATCAGTGTCCTTTGAATATTCTTAGTTGTGATTTCCTAGTTTAACATTCACATTTTGCATCCAAATGGTATTTGTCTTCATATAATTGATAAAATTCCATTTATTCATTCATTTAACATATATATTGGTTGAATGCCTATCATGTGGAAGATAACCTACTAAATGTAGAAATTCACCAGAAAATAATCAACTTCTCTTTATTCCCCAAATTCAGAGTTCCCTAATACTACAGATTTACTTTAATTTGGTCAGTGGTACCAAGTAGTCAGATAGGTGAAATATTTCCTTTAGGAGGGTGGTACTGAAAGCTGTCCATTCTTAAGAAGCATCTGTGATTATGTATATAGTAAAACAGGTTCTGAAATTAATTATCTTAGAATTGGGTTCAGTAGACCTGGCATAGATCCCAAGAATTTGCAGCATTTCTAACAAGTTTCCCAGGTAACTCTCAGGCACATAGTTCTCAGAATGTGCATAAGAATTACTGCCTTAAAATTTAAAGAAAATTTTCTTTTCATGCCATGCTATATTCTACATACAAAAAGCATCTTCCTTTATTATTTTTCTATAAAATACTATTTAAACTTTCCTGAATTACATTTTATAATTACAACAAAATCTGTTGTGACCCATGCAGATTACTATACAATTCTTTATCCCTTTAAATGGAGTAGAAATACATGAAGAATGCTAAATATGATTTTTTTTAAAAACTCACACTTTAATCATAAGAAAAATACTTTGATTGCCATTATGTGACTCTAAATTGGTAAATCATTACAATGATAATTTATATTTTGGTTCATTAACTTTACAAAATATTACTCAAAAGTTCCTGCAAGGTGCTTTTTCTTTAATACTTTATAATTTTTCGTTCAAAATATTTTATTAGATCACAATGAGTTTTTCATATGATTTTAGAGAATAGTCATATAAGTGATGTTTTCCTTCTTGTATTAGTAATACTTTACTTCTACCTTTTTGGAATGGATTATTTTTCTGTACAAGTCCTTTCAGCAATATGGCACCATGTCATAGGTGGTGAACACAGTGACATTATTTAAGGTCAGGGTACAGAGAAAATATATTACTAGGCTCTACTTGTTGTATTAGGGTCCACCTTTCTTTCACAGAAACATTGACTTGTTATTTCATAATTTGAGTTCCAGACTCGGTTTTCTTGCTTCTAAGGTTGGTAGGTCATTTCTTTAACAAGATTTGATATATTTCTAATCTTTTCTAATTTGAGTATTATCATAGTGTGATCTGCTGATTTTTAAAAAATATATCAGTAGTGCCCAAGCTGCATTAGGAGATTTCAGCTGATATTAAATTAACCCCAACTGCCACCTCCAGTCAAATGTGGCACCTTTGCATGACAATATCATACCCACTTTTATTATATTTCTTCTTTTTAAAAAAAATGTATTTTAAGGGGCTTACTTGAAAATAACTCATAATAATAGGCAATTGTGAAATGTTTAGTTTCATTGAGTGCTCTAACCACATTCATCTGAATAATCCAGCTCTCCAAAGGCTGAAATCTATTCTAGCTACTTTGAATACATAGTGTCCAATGGTAACTACAAATATATTCTAGGGCTCATCAAAATGGAATGAACCAGAATATCTACACACTCAAAACAAACAAACAAAAAGGAATAGATATTCATTTTTAAAGTTTTAAAAGGCTAAAAAAATCGCAACACTATTTTAAAATATATACACTTCCACATAATAATATGCCCTTGAGCCAGGAAATCATTATAATAAAATTTTGTGGCAAAAACCCTCCACTGTTTTTGTGGTGGCATTTCTGCCATGTTTCAAATTAGAACTCCTATAAATCTTGAAATTGAACAAACAGGAAAATAGAAATCTCACCTGTCTGTATTCAGACCTAAACAATGAATTGAAATAAGATTCCAGGCCCAGTGTGGTGCCTCAAGCCTGTAATCCCAGCACTTTGGGAGGCTGAGGAGGGCAGATCACGAGGTCAGGAGATCAAAACCATCCTGGCTAACACGGTGAAACCCTGTCCCTCCCAAAAATACAGAAAAAAAAAAAAATTAGCCAGGTGTGGTGGTGGGTGCCTGTAGTCCCAGCTACTTGGGAGGCTGAGGCAGGAGAATGGCGTGAACCCAGGAGGCGGAGCTTGCAGTGAGCCAAGATTGGGCCACTGCACTCCGGCCTGGGTGACAGAGTGAAACTCCAAAAACAAAAACAGACAAGCAAACAAATAAATAAGATTCCAAATCAAACTTTCTAAGTTGTTGAGGTTGATACATTAGTATCTGATGTCAAATATGTAGCTATTTAACTAAACAAATTCATGTTAAAACAGAATCTATACTTTGATCATTCCTTCTTAAATGAAATCATGATAATTTTGACATGATTCTCTATACTGAGGTATCCATTTCCTCACTGGAGTTCTGATAGATGCTACAAATAAATAAAAGTTTAAAGGGTTTTTCCACAAATGATGAGGAGGCTAAGAATCCAGGAATGCGATGCACTAGACTGGTAGCAGACCAAGCAGCAGAACTAAAGCTCAAAAGTAGGTGAAGGAACTTTCTATCAATAACTGCAATAATGAAGTATAAAGTGGAACATATTTATACTTCTGAACTGTTTCCTTATTCAGCATCCTTATACAGAAAATCTTCTTTATCTTTTTTATTATTATTAGTTATTTATTTAGAGACAGTCTAGCTCTGTCACCCAGTCTGGAGTGCAATGGCGTGATCTCAGCTCACTACAACCACCACCTCCTGGGTTCAAGCAATTTTCCTGCCTCAGCCTCCCTAGTAGGTGTGATTACAGGCGTCCACCACCACGCCTGGCCATTTTTTGTGCTTTCTTTTAGTGGAAACAGGGTTTTACCATGTTGCCCAGGCTGGTCTCGAACTCCTGACCTCAAGTAATCTCCCTGCCTTGGCTTCCCAAACTACTGAGATTACAGGCAGGAGCCATTGCACCTGGCCATTCTTTATCTTTTTAAATGTCGTAGTTGCCTAATTGTAAATATTATGCAAATATCTACTTATTTGCTAAATGACAAATCCAAAATACCAAGCATCATCAAACTTTGGAAAATGCATAAATATCTCTAGGACAGTATTTTCAAATGATGCATTGAGGTAAATACGCATGCTTTTGTACTACGGGCAG